GGGAGGGGGAAAAAAGAGGGAGGGAGGGGGGAGAAGGAAACAGGGAGGGAGGGGGAGAAGGAAACAGGGAAGGAGGGAGGGGGGAGAAGGAAACGGAGGGAGGGGGAAGAAAGAAACGGAGGGAGAGGGAAAAAGAGGGAGGGAGGGGGAGAAGGAAACAGGGAGGGAGGGGGAGAAGGAAACAGGGAAGGAGGGGGAAGAAAGAAACAGGGAGGGGGAAGAAAGAAACATGGAGGGGAGAGGAGGGGAGGGGGGAAGAAAGAAACTGACAGGGGAGGGGGGAGAAATAAACTAACAGGGAGGTGGGGGGGAAAGAAACTAACAGGGGGGGAGACATTGACAGGGAGGGGAATTGATGGGGAGAGAGAAATTGACAGGGAGGGGGGAGTGACAGGGGAGGGAGGGGGAATGAGAGTAACAAGGGAGGGGGGGAGAAGAGAGTGACAAGGGAGGGGGGAGAGAGTGACATCCATCACACACACACACACAATCACACACAATGCACCCCTTACACACAAAGACAATGAACCCCTTGCACACAGAAAAACACACAATGCATTACACACACAATGCATTACATACACACACACACGCAATGCAACCCTTACACACAATGCATCCCTTGCACACAAAGAAACACACAATGCATTCCTTACACACACTCAATGCACCCCTTACAGACTCACACACTTCATCCCTTACATACACAGAAACACACCTTGCAGCCCTTACACATAGAAACACAGATTCACACAATGCATTCCTTACACACAAATCAAGACATCCCCTACACACTCCACCCCCTGTGAACAAACTCATTGGTGGAACATGAAGGTGGACCCTGGGACCCAGACCTTGAGCTGTGTAAAGGGCCCCCAAAAAATGGAGCTGCTTCTCGTTCTCCCAGAACATTGATTTGTGTGACCACAGTTACAAACAGCCTCCAGAGATCCTGTTCTACACCAGACCAGTGGAGCCAGACTGCAGCTAGAGCCCATCATCATCCTCATCTGCTTGTAAGTAGGTAATCTAGTATATTATTCGTGGCACTAATCTCTAATTTACCTCACATTAAAGAAACACTATAGTCCCCAGAACCACTGCACCTTAATGTAGTGGTCCTGGTGTCTATAGCCTGTCCCTGCAGGCCTTTTAATGTAAACACAGCGGCACTGCAGCACTAGCGTTAGTTAACATGGCAGGTCATATGGGTGGGGCATTGCGATGTCACGGGGGGGAGGAGGGGGGCGGCAAACTTTACTTTTGCCTAGGGCGGCAAAAATCCTTGCACCGGCCCTGCACACACTTCCCCACAAACATTGTCCCCATACACACACTTCCCCACAAACACTGTCCCCCATACACACACTGTCCCCCATACACACACTGTCCCCATACACACACTGACCCCCATACACACACTGCCCCACAAACACTATCCCCATACACACACTGTCCCAATACACACACTGCCCCCATACACACACACTGCCCCACAAACACACACTGTCCCCATACACTGTCCCATACACACACACTGTCCCTATACACACACTGTCCCCATACACACACTGCGTCCCCATACACACACTGCCCCACAAACACTGTCCCCATACGTACATTGCCCCCCATACACACACTGCCCCACAAACACTCTCTCCATACACACACTGCCCCACAAACACTGTCCCCATACACACACACTGCCCCCATACACACACTTCCCCACAAACATTGTCCCCATATACACACTGCCCCCCCATACACAGTCTCCCATACACACACTGTCCCCATACACACACTGCCCCACAAACACTATCCCCATACACACACTGCCCCCTATACACACACTGCCCCACAAACACTGTCCCAATACACACACTGCCCCCATACGCACACACTGCCCCACAAACACTGTCCCCATACACACACTGCCCCACAAACACTGTCCCTGATATACACTGCCGCACTCACACACTTCACCCTTAACACACACCACTGCTCCTATACCCTATATCCCAGCAGACCCCAGTTAAGTTGTCAAACTGTTCTTAAACAGTATGACTACTTACTCTGGGGTGGAATCCTGGCACTACTGACACCATAACTACTACACTGAGCTGTAGTAGTTATTGTGCCTGGATTATTTATTTAAATAATCTACAAGTGCCCCTCCCGAGATCAGGCTCTGGATCCGCCACTGCCACCCAGCCTCCCTACCTGGAGAGCTGGCATGGACTTGTCCCTGGGGTCCAGTCGGTCAGGCGCCTATCTCCATACAACAAGCGGCGAGGGAGCTGTGTGCTCTCTGCTCCCTCTCGCCGCGCAGGCTGTCTGATGTAGCTGGGAGCCGGAATATGATGTCATATTCGGCTCCCGCCATCAGCAAACTGCTCGCGGCGAGAGGAAGCAGAGAGCACACAGCTCCCTCGCCGCTTGTTGTATGGAGATAGGCGCTGGACGGGGGGGTGTCCATCACCTCTTGCTCCCCTCCCCATGACAGGGGGAACACGGGGGGGAGGAGGAGGGCATTTGGGGGCGGCAGAGTGCCTGCAGGAACAGTGGGAATGGCATTCCTGCAGGACTCACAGGCGTGCTGCGGGGATTAGGGTGTGCCCAGGCACACCCGGCACACCCCGTGCGCACGCCTATGTCTAAAGTATCAATATCCTTCTGGAGATACAGTCTCCAGTACTGCGTACAATACTCCAAGTGAGGTCTCACCAGTGTTCTGTACAATGGCATGTGCACTTCCCTCTATTACATTGTCTGCTTATCTTTAAGTCATCAGAAATAATCATCCCTAAATCCCTTTCCTCAGATGTTGAGGTTAGGACTCTATCAAATATTATGTACTCTGCCCATGGGTTTTTACGTCCAAGATGCATTATCTTGCACTGAAATGTCAGTTTCCACAGCTCTGACCATTTTTCTAGTTTACCTAAATCATTTGCCTTATCCCTCCTGGAACATCAACCCTGTTACACATCTTAGTATCATCAGCAAAAAGACATACCTTACCATCAAGACCTTCTGCAATATCACTAATAAATAAAGAGAATGGGTCCAAGTACAGATCCCTGAGGTACCCCACTGGTGACAAGCCAATGCTTCAAATATACTCAATTGACTACAACCCTCTGTTGCCTGTCACTCAGCCACTGCCTTACCCATTCAACAATATTGGAATCCAAACATAAAGATTGCAGTTTATTGATAAGCCTTTTATGTGCAACAGTGTCAAAAGCCTTACTGAAATCTAGGTAAACAATGTCTACTGCACCACCCTGATCTATAATTTTAGTTACTGTTACGGTTGCCCCAGACTAGTTGTGGGTTGTTCAGCACCCTTGATCCAGGGCCGGACTGGCCCACCGGGATACCGGGTGGCCGGTCCGGTGGCACACTGAGAGGGGGCCGGTCGCGTTCCAGGCTGGAGCCGCCCAGCCGGGTGGCAGCTTCGCCGGTCCGGCGGCACTCCTGACACTGCTGTGGCTGATGGCTGAAGGAGGAGGAACAGGTCTACCATGCTCCCTCGCGGTTCCCACAATTCCCAGCACATGAACCGCGAGGGAGCATGGTACAGAGACATGCTCCTCCTCCTTCAGCCATCAGCCACAGCAGTGTCAGGAGTGCCGCCGGACCGGCGAAGCTTCCACCCGGCCGGCGGCTCCAGCCTGGAACGCGGCCCCTGACTTCTCTAGGTAAATGGGGGGCGGGGGGAGAGATGGGGAGGAGGGGAGAGACACAGGGAAAGGGGGAGGGAGAGAGGAGAGACACAGGGAAAGGGGGAGGGAGAGACACAGGGAAAGGGGGTGAAAGAGGCTTTCTCCTGCCGGCCGATATCCCTCCCCGTTCCACAGGCACCGTGCAGGCAGCCGGCAGGGGAGGAAGAGAGGACCCAGGGCAACGCTCCGGCTCTCACGAGGGTGAACTCTCGCCCTGGAGCTATGGGCTAGAGTTCACTCTCACCACTTCCTGGTGGTCGCAGTAGTAGGAGTGAACTCTAGCCCCATACACACACACACCATACACATTCACACACTGCCCCCCACACACACACACCATACACATTCACACACTGCTCACCCACACATTGCACCACTGCTCCTATACCCTACTACAGCCCCATATCCCAGCAGACTCCAGGTAAGTTGTCAAACTGTTCTTAAACGGTTTGACTACTTACTCTAGGAGGGGGTGCCGACGCTCCTGGCACCATAACCACTACACAGAGGAGTAGTGGTTATTGTGCATGGAATATTTCTTTAAATAATCTACAAGTGCCCCTCCCAGGCTCAGGCTCTGGATCCACCACTGGTATATGACATGTATATTAATGTGTGTATTAGTTTTATATCTCTATTATATTTACACATATTAATGTACATTTATAAATGCATTATACACAGAGAAATGTCATTAATATGTACCATATGTAATGAGCAGATATTGGCCCAATCTTGTTGCTAGGTACATACTCCAGCACAATAACATATTTAAAGTGAAGCGCACACCCACAGGACTTCAAAATAAACAGTTTTTACAGTTGTGCCCTACATACATTCACCATTTCAGTCCCATTACCAAGCTTTCCTTAATATGTCAAGGTAGTTTGACTGAAACATTGATTACATGCAAAGGCACGTCTGCTTAAAATAAATCTGCACTTTTGTATATTTTGAAGCCTATGAGTGCGCTTTTTACGTTGAAGTACTTTTTAATTTTAAGTTATCTGTTCTAACTCTGTATCTGCACACTATGCTGGCGCGACGCATTATGGGGCTGGTAAATATTTTTTTCGAGGGCTGCTTTTTATTCCCAGTCCGGCCCTGCCTTGATCTCTCTGGTGTTCGTAGGCGTGGAGCTTGGGGTACT